CGTGTATGTTTGTTTTTATATGGTCTCGCTTGCGCCCCTAAGTCCTATTATGCCAGGTTTATGAAATTTCGTGCATTTTCTTACACTCACATTTTCGAATTTTCTAACTTATATAATAAAATAATCACAATTTCAGCATTACGCCTTCTTTGTTACAACGACTATACTGTGTTTCCATAAATAGAGGAAATTACCTACAGTGAATATTGCTGAGAGTTTGATTCGAGGTTTGCCGCAGAAAATTACAAAATGGCCGCCACTGCAAGCTAGCGCACGTAATAGCCTAACATATTGAAATATTCGCCCACCCCCATTATTGGCTGATGTCACTCTAAAGACGTATAACAGCGCTACATAATATAGCTTTAGTACAGGTATAGCAGTATTAACGCTGGACTTATTCATCAACGTGGCATCGTATCAAATGTGCGCGCAAAGTATATAGTAAGGTTAGTTCTGGGGTTAGTTTCTCGTTGGTGACAAATTTCACAGTATAAAACCTCGTGTCTCCAAGAGGAGCGACCCAATTCTATAGTGGTATTTCAACGAGAGAACTGGTTACGGGAGGTTGGAGGGGGCGCGATTAGAGCAACAGCTATCCACCAACAAACATACTTCGTGGGCTCTATATAGGCTTTTAATTTGTTCTTGTGCCTCTGTGCGCTGTTTCTTTATATTCTATAGACAATAACCGGAGATGAATATTTTTTTGTCGCTCCTCGTGTTACGGGTCATGTGCCTACGTGCACGCATGCGCGCGTCACGCTGTCAGCAGTGCGTGCGTGCGTGCGTGCGTGCGTGCGTGCGTGCGTGCGTGCGTGTGTGCGTGCGTGCGTGCGTGTGCGTGGCGGGGGTGGCAATCATTTGTTATAATTTCCTGCGAAATTTCCAGAAAAAAAGAGATGGCGGAGTTAGAATTTCATTCTGCAGTAATTGCTAATTCTTCATGTAGGGATTATACTAGCTTAATTATTTAAACGCCTTTTGATGGTTGCTATAGAAACGATACTTGCGAAAGCTCGGCACTTATTTCTGTGCGGGTAAATAAACAGCAAAATATCTACCATTTCGAGAATAAACTCGTAGGTTTTTATACGCGGTGGAGGGAAGGAACGCGTTGGCGTGTTAACAAATGTCTGAGGGATACTGTCAAACATATCTAGCTAATATAAGGGAGAGAGAGGGGGAGATAGAAAGAGTGTGAGAGAGAGAGAGAGGAGAGAGAAGGAGAGAACGAGAGAGAAGAGAGAGAGAGAGAGAGAGAGAAGAGAGAGAGGAGAGAGGAGAGAGAGAGAGGAAGAGAGAGAGAAGAGAGAGAGAGAGAGAGAGCGAGAGAGATGGAGAGAGAGAGAGAGAAGAGAGAGAGAGAGAGAGAGAGTGAGAGAGAGAATCCATACGGAGCGAGCATCCGAGCTTTCAACAGATCCGCTGGTTTTGTTAGTATCACGCGAAATATGTTATCTACAGCCTATGTTTCCTCTCCTGTATATATATTATATATATATATACCGCGTATACGGACTTCCAGTGGCAGGGCATTGAGTAAATACTTTCAGCCCCCTAGACACAATGACCAAACCAAATACGAATCCGCATCAGAAAAAAAACGCTGGCTAGCTGGATTCCGGACAATATTAACATCATGCCAAACATACGGACTAAAACGCCTACATTCGTTCCACCATCCAATCTAGGGTAGAAATTCCGGGGATATAGAAGATAATCAACATTCCTCCTTGTCAGCATGTTACCACGTAAGGCTATTCTACTCAGACGACCAGGTAGCGAGCCAGGTTCGGTTTACTTTAGACATATAATATATATATATACAATAGAGAGAGAGAGAACGAGAGAGAGAGAGAGACCATATTTTGCACTCTGAATCTTGCACGGAACGCGCGCACCAACATGGAAAATACCCCCGCGAAATATAGCGACAATCGTGTTACGGCCATTGCTGCTTGTATTGCTTTTCGCTGTAATTTTGAAACCATATTTTTTCGCAGTAACATATTGCTATTCAGCGCTGCGTGCGTGTGTGCGGACAATTGTGACACAGCACTTGCCGTGTGTTACGAATTGGTAATGATACAAAGACTAGCTCTAGCGGTGCATATGGTTGTGGCGATGGCCGCGACGTTGATGCTGATGATGATGGTTTTGTCAATGATGGGTTTGTCAATGGTTTAACGACATTTGAACTAATGATGGCTGTAGAAATAGTGCGACTGGCTTTATCGCTGAGCTCACCGAAATGTATGTAGCCGTGTCTATAGAGGATTGAGTGTTGACCTCGACTAAATGCATTTCATGTGTAGGCTATATAGTGGCACACATGTACGCATTCATTCGAGTTCCTTTTCGCAGTCAACCCTCACTCGCTGCTGGGACGACTAGTCTATAGAGCAGTATGCCATTTCACGCCCGACATTTACAAACAGCGACACGGCGTTTGTCGAATGATTTTCGTGTGGCGTTATAAGTGTGCCTGTGCCCTAATCTAATTGGCTCTTGGAATCGGGAAGGTACGCGTCACGGGTGTAACCGCGTAAATTCGTTTGTGATTCCAAACATTTGACGAACACGAGCGAGTGTGCTAGTGAAAAGCTCCATTAGCCAAATGCAAACACACCGAAGTGAGTTTTCCGTGATAAAAAAACGAACCTCCCACGTATACGATGACACCGGCGAACGCTAAACATCGGAATGGGCGCTATCACCATTCTTTCTCTTTATTGGTCAATGGATGCGTCGACGACGATGCGTCCTTAGGGGTTATTTGCTCGACGATCTTCGAAAAAAGAGAATATCGTTATCACTGTTTGTTTTACTGGTTGAAGGCAACCCCCAAAAAAATTATCGGGTTCGCCTCGCGTTTTTCACTATTACTATATACTACGTCTATGGCTGCTACGGACCACGACGGCTGCGAATGTGGTAGTCTACTTTCCGCACACATATATACGTACACACACGCGCACATACCCGCACACCGGCGCACATGCACGCAGAGACGCAAGTACGCATAGGCGCACCCCCA